CAACGTCCGAGAGTTTTCCGCGGGGTATGAAAAAGATCTCATATTCCATCGGAGAAAAATTTCCCATGAAAGATTTTTTTCATCTCATTTTTACTACATAACACTGCCAAAAGTGTACCTGAAAGACTCCATGTACAGGAACACTCCCAATCACTCATATCTCTCATACAGTTGAGAGTCAAGAAGTAGTAAGTGCTTCTCAGATGGTACTATTACTATCTATTGTTCAAAATTTGATGTACTGGTGAGGACATCACACCAAACCAGATTGGATGACATTTGCATTTCGCACAGTCATAACCCTCAAATTTACTGGTCTTACCATTAGATTATCACTGAAGAATTCATAAATCAAACTTCTATTTTTATTCTATTTTTTCGAGAACATATTTTCTCCATTTGGTACTCACTCAACCTCGGTTCCACCGAACTCAGTGGTGGTGTATGCCTGAAAATTAGTAGTACTTTTGGAACCAATAACATTTCGTGTTTTTCTTATAGTCACATTTCCAATCATATCCTCACCCAAACAACTCCTGTCTCTCAATTGTCTGTAGTTAACACAGGCCCCCCTAAGCTCAAGGTTTTCTGCCAGAACTGCGACGGGTCCAAGAAGTGAAGTCCGATGTCACAGAAGTGCTATGGGACAACAGTATCTTCAAAGACGCTGAAGAGTTGTTAGGCATGACAGTATAATTAGTTCAATTTCTAAGATATTATTAGTTGATGAGAAACAATAGACAAACAATGGGGATAAAATAATACAAATGCAGTATGGCAAGTTTGTTGAACATTAGAGAGAATTGTTGCACATCAGGAAAAGATTGGAACAYGGCAAAAATAACAAAAGGGAACAAGTGTTCAAGGAGAGTTATTTACATCTGTATGGTTTCTTTGTCAATGGGACAATGTTGGCAACAGCACAGGGGAATCAGATTAATTGGCTATGATACTTTGGGCATTTATCAGCAATATATCAGTACCATGTCATTCTTGATCATGTTACAATGAGAAAAAACTGATGTGGATAAACAACCATACTATGAACCCCAGAATAGAGTGAAATTTGTGATGAGAAACATAGGGTGTGAGAAAATGTTCCAGGGAAAAGGGCCCTGAGTTTTGTATCAACACATTGAAAAATGTGTGTGCAATTTTGTTTTGGTACATGCGGGAATAGTACGAAAACACTATTATCAGTTTGCGTGATGGACATAGAGCTGGTGGTAGTACCAGCACCCACCAGCACAAGAATACTGTAATTCTAGACAAATATTCTGTCCTTCATCCCATTTTGTGAAACCAGTCCAGTCCTTATTAGCAAAAATTTCAACTGTCTGTCATCTGTTTTGCCTAACTTAGTACCACGAATAGAATATGGATTTCAATTTGTTCTGCTCCCTTTTAAATTATGGCCCCTGTCATAGTATGGTTTTGYAGGAAAGCTCATTGACTCCAGTACTGTACTAGTACTAGTTTAAGCAGGTCCTAAGTCCTCTTTGTTCAAATCATCCAACAGGAATTACTAATAGATACCAAACTGTTTTGTATTCTCACCAACAGTATCCAAATGAAGTCCTTGGTCACACTCTATGTCACACAAAATGAGTGTTGGAGTAGCTATCATACCTTGATTGAACACTTCATTACCAACATTAGCTCTTGTAAKGTCCTTAGCATAATTCAGAATAGTTTGCAGGTTATCAAACAGGGAATACCAAAATTTAGCTGCAAGCCACACAGAGAACCTGGATGGTGGTGGATTGAATGTGAGTTCCATCATGTATCTGTTGCTTTGAACAAGAACTGCATTATGATGTTCATCATATTCAATACTCTCTCTGATAGTATTCTAATTGACAGACAAAGCACTGTTTAGAGCCACAACGGCTGCTCACATGTCCTCCTGATAAAATTTGTCAGAATCAGGTGCAAACAATTTCATGACATCTTTTCCTTTGCTTTCTCTTGTACCAACATCTTTTGTCATTTCCTGACATGTAGATCTGGTGAAAGAGTGTGTCTGTTTTATGGTGTGGCTGGTATGCAGAATATATAATTCTTCAATTTCAAAACCAAGTTGTCTCACTGCTTACACTTAGTAGTCCTTCACATTTGTTGGCAGGCAATAATTTGTTATCTCGAAAATATCACCATATGCTGCGCCATCTGTCTGCCTGTTCTGCCTCACAAATACAGACTCACTTTCTGTTTTTCTCGTSAATTCAATSTTATGGTTTGATTGTTGTCACATTGATGATAACTCAAATTCTTACTATTGTCTTGCACCAGACTGTGGTGTGCTTAACCTGTCTGTTTTGCTTACAAAATGCAACTGTCTTCTTAATGTCTTGGACATCCTACTGTACAAGATTTGGTATCATGCGGTGTTGTCTTGAATAGGAAGGTTTTTGTATTAGAAGTATTATTTTATCTCAACTGTGGTCTTTGGTGTCAAATGTTGTCTCACAGTCTTATCGTTGCATCAGGTCTTTCCTATGCAACTAATGTGTTTCTTGCCTGCTACTA